TTCACAAACAAATTAGATTGTTATCGCACTACTATGTTTGTCCTTCGTTACTTCCCTATAACTCACCATTGCTATATCATCTCCGTATTCACTAAACTTGCTCAGCACAAAGTCACTGAGGGAAATCTCTGGTATGTCAACTGTATACTCGCTTTTCACGATGCCCGCAGAAGAGCTTGACCTGAATCGAAGTGGCGTTTGTCGACGTCCATTCGACCGAGAAAGTAACAGAAGAGATTCTAGTTGAAACCGCGAGTAGAATCGGTTTCCTAATGCGATAAAGCTCCGCGGCGAAGGAAACCGTCTTATCCCTGTACTGCTTAGCGATCTTTGCGCAAAAATCAAAGAACGCGAACAAACAAATGAACTTGCCATCCTTCCGTCTTTTCCGCGTTTGTCTACTTTTGCAGACGATGAAATTGGCGGCTTGGATGGCTGGGGTAGCTGTGCAACTTGAAGGAGCAGGACTGGGCTCAGGTCAAAGTTGTAACAATTGAAATTTCAAAGTTCGGCAAAGTTGTACGTGTAGTCTAGCTGGGCTACCAAGTAAGTTTGAAGCGGAAAAAAGTGAGATGCAGTTAGTGTGATGCATCACTGGCTTACTAACTCAATGAAGGTCCATGGTAAATGACAAGTGGCCTGTTCTTTCCCCTCGGCTGCGTCTCGACGGCCGCCTAAGGGAAAGAATCGAGAAAGAACTGCTAATACCGTAAATCCTCGAATTAGCGCCGGGGGTGCTTATTTCAAATTTAGGAGGAGACGGGAGCGCTAATTCAAGGGGTGGGGTGGGGTTGGGGGACGCTTAATCGAGGTGAGCGCTTATTTTACTTTTTTCCCAAATCATGGTCAGATATCACCTTTTTTTTTGTTTTCGTTTTTTTGCAATATCTGTATGTGTCAGTCCCTCAGTAGTCTCAGAGAGATCCTCTCTCTATTACTGCGCCTTTCAATAACATGCCGACTCTAAAATTCAAAGCTCAACCGGCAAATGCGTTTTTCGCTACCGTCTATATCAAGTGTTCGGCGGCTCCTCCCAACTTCCGACTACTACCGAGCGTTGTTTCGTTGTCTGAACTGTGCTCAACGATTTGATTACCGCGCACTTGGTAGTAGTCGGAAGCTGGGAGGAGCCGCCTAACACTTGATTGACCGTAGCGAAAAACACATTTGTCGGTTGAGCTTTGAATTTTAGAGTCCGCATGTTATTGAAAAAATTTGAAAGGCGCAGTAAAGAACTATGTAATACAATCCCTTTAGCCAGTCTAGGCCTGCTGCACAAGGCTGGTTCTTCACTACCATACGTTGCGACCGTCAATGTGCAGTGCTTGAATGAGTCGATAATCACTTGCTTGTGACTGGACACGACCAAAACTATACATCCTTTGCTGTCTCATCACTCTTCCATAAAACAGGGGAGGGGGAGGGGAGGCGGGTTATTCAAGGGGAGGCGCTCATTTTAAATTTTGGCCGATAGGAAAAGCGCTTATTCGAAGGGGCGGG